TGACAGTGCATGAGCATGCTGTGAATTTGGGGGGATTGTATGTACTCTTTCTTTAGCACGTCTGTTCTCTATAAACCATGGGATGTCTGTTCTAGCTCCCAGCTCATCTTACAAATAAGAACACTTTCAGAGATATCTACAGGTTGTGTAACCATGGTGTCATTAGGCCAAACAAACAGTTGTACAGGGATTGTGCATAGTTGAGAACTCTTCAGAAACTGTACTGGGTGGGAGCTTTTCAAAGAATTGAACGAGACACGTCTTTACACAAACTCTTTCAAGCCTATTGAACCAAAAAGTATATTGGGACAGAAAAATAAGTGTGTGCTTTCTAAGAGAGAATGGAAACTCTTCAAAAACTGGAAGGCGTTATGACAAGTTTGTAGGAGCATGCATTTGATTTTACTTGTGCCACTATGTCTTACAATAAAAAATGGTTTACAGGTTTTTGTGATGTTGTATAGCATTCATAGTGATGAAATTATAGGGGGGGGGAAGGGACAGAGAAGAGCAAAATGAAGGGGTATCTGAAAGACTAAGATATTTGTTTCAGTGTGATCTTTTGTGGATCAAACACTTCCTCAGACTATTCCTTTCAATATTTATTCTGTTGACTGTACAACATTAGGCACTAATTGCTAATAGACCCAAGCTTTTTGCATGAGTATGCAATATATATTGTCTGTCTGGCAGGGCTTTTTTTGGTAGCATTTTCGCTTGCATTATCTGTCTTGCTTTTGGCTTGTGTGACTGTTATATTGGTCATTCTGGACTATTGTTGAGCATATCCAGATGGCACACCTGATGATGTACAGAGTTAGACATACAGTAGTATGATAGTGATCCCTACTAGAGATGAGGACGAATATGAAAACGGATCTGCTTTTTCAACGAAAATAGGCAATTCGTTAAATATTCATCCTTTCATATTTGTGGGTTCCAGAGACCCCCACGAATACGAAGGGTCGAATATTTACCCATTTTTTTTATCGTCCTTTGTATTACAAAGAAAACACAACCCCACCCATTCTGCCTACCGGGACTGTGTGATATTTGGACACTTTATATCCACCTCCCCAGGCTAATGAAACACTGCTGTGTGAGCCAGTGCAGCAATTTAAATGTGAGGGTGCGGTGCAGTGACGTTTGCATCTGCCCTAGGATAACTTCTGTGTGGTCATGCTCACAGACTTCTTGTGTCTAAGGAAATGGATTTTGATAACTAAAATGCTACACTAAACAAACCTCTTAACCTGTAAGGAACCATAAGATTTTGTCTTTCTCTCCCTCTCTCTTTCTTATTTTGCCAGCATGCTGAATCAGGCTAAAACAGACATATTGTGTTTCCCTGAAAATAAGACAGGGTCTTATATTAATTTTAGCTCCAAAAATGCATTAGGGCTTATTTTCAGGGAATATTTTAATTTTTTTCATGTACAACAGTCTACATTTATTCAGAGATAGTCATGTCATCATCTTCTGGTTGCTGCACAATGGTGGAGGGCAGGGTTTTTCTCAACTGGGGCTTATTTTTGGGGGTAAGCGGGTTTCTCTCAACTGGGGCTTATTTTTGGGTGTAGGCCTTATATCACGAGCATCCTGAAAAATCATAGTAGGGCTTATTTTCAGGTTAGCTCTTATTTTCGGGGAAACAGGGTATCAGACATATCTTCAGAAACTCTTGTCCATTTTGGGTCACTTTGAAGAGAAAGATAAATATTTTAAATAGTAAATATTTTAAATAATAAGCTATATATCACTCATTCATATTATAAGAGGTGAAAGGGAAAGAGGTAAGGGGAAGACAGCTGAACAAGTCTCGGTGCTGAGTGAAATAACACAAATGACTGACTGCTGGGAAACACTTTACTTATTGGTCCCAGTGTGTCTCAGCCCTTATTAAAGTGAAACAATGAAAAATGGAGTAATCAAATTCTCTCCAGGGATTATTGAGCCACTTTGTGCATTCAACATGCAAAGTGTGCTTTTAGCTCTGTATTGCTGATGTACTCCATGGTCATTTGCATAGCACATTGGAATGGCAGATTAGTTGATTACAGTGGCTGCTTGTTTTTTCTTGTTATTGAATCAAATTATTGATTGACTTACCTTTTCTTGGTTTGCACAACTTTTCCCTCATATGTTCGTGTACTTGATATCAAGGAGCACTTTAATGGAGGGAGACATCTTTTTGACCACCCATTTTCTTCCTTGGGATGATTTGCAGAATCAAGGTTGTTATCTTAAGGGGGGCTGGTACCATTCAATTTTGTGGGAATGACTTGTTGGGATGGTGAGGCAATTGGATGTAACAAAATAGGAACTGATGCTTGCTACTTCTGTTTTTTTCACTGTGGTAGGCTAAGATTGGCAAATAGATCCTGACATTTACCTTCTTCTGATGCAAAACATTGGATGCCAATTCATGTTTTACTTACTTATTTAAAACATTTATACTCTGTTTTTCTCCTCAAGAGGACTGTTGGGGGTGGTGGTGGTGGAAGATGTCAGAGTGAAAAGTATCTAGAAGCAGTAAAGATCTAAGCCCCTTCCCCTTGAGATCTGTGCATAGTGGACTGGACCCAGACTGAGCTCTGTGTGTTTATTTCATAGATAAAAAAATTAGCGTCCAATTGTACATGATGCATTTCACAGAACATTATGTATTTAGCAACATCTCTGTGCTGCGTAAATGCACACACTCTAGCGAGGAACACAAATTTAGAACTCTGCACTTTTGAGTTAAAACAACATTCAGCAGTTAGCAACTTGAGGTTCATCCAGGGGAAAATCTTTCCCAGTGTTTGGAAAAATGAATGAATGAATAAAAATAGATTTTTTTTAAAAAAATCTGTTTTTTTTAAAGCTCATGGGTGATTTGTGGCTAGAGACCAGCCATAGATATGTCATTGTTATATAAATGCAAATACACAGTATTGGTAGGAGTCTCATTTACCCCATTATATCCATATTTCTTGGTTAAATGTTGGAGGCATTTCCTTGTGAAAAAGCTGATAAGGATGTTCTTTGGGGGCAACACAGGAACTATTACTTTACATTAAATTATGTTGTGGTTTTTGCTTGTATAACTGCATGTTTGTATATTCTCCAGAAAGAAATACTCATAGAAAGAAAAATGCTTGGGTTTTTGTGTGTGTTTCTCTCTCCCCCCCCCCCCCCATACTTTCAAATGGGAAGGGAGTTTTTAGATCTTTCTGCTTCAAGGCATCTAATGTGTAAACTCAGTGACACCACGGGGAAGGCATTAGGCTAGGTAATTAAAGCATTTTATCTTTAAACCACAGTTTTGGATTTAGGGTGAACAACCCAAATTAATAATGTATTTATGAAGAAGGAATGATGTAAGAAAATCTGTTGGGATGGTAAATATTGTTGCAAAAGAGCAGCCCTGTTGCAATGGGTTTCTTTCTGGATAAACACCTGAGATCTGCTGTCACTGTTTTAGGTGTGCCCTCAAGCTGTTCAGCAAGTGTGTTGTGTGGGAGGTTTTTCTTTTTTGGAAGCCTGGTGGTTTTAGAAGGTGGCTATTAGCAATAATGAAGATAGCAGTAATTGTACCATCCATCTCTACAGGCATTTTGGAGACTTTTCAAAAGATAAAACCAACGATTGTAGGTAAAAACAGAAGAGTCAACATGAAGCCAAGTGAAATTGTGTTAGAAATGAGATATTTGTACTATTGATAAAAATCACACTCCATTTGGTAAAGGACAACCTTGGGAACAATTGTAATTATGTGTCACAAGAAACCTTACACTAGGATTTTGCAAGGGTTGAGGATATATCACTAATGTATATCTTTTCCTGTCCCCTGGTTCTTTCGAATAAATGGGACTTGCTTTTCCCTGCATCCAAGTACCTTGCCACCATTGCAAAGCCAGGAATCAGAAACTAGTTTGTCTGGTTGTGCAACCAGAATGGTGCCATGGATAGAGGTGGTTTGGTTGGTAAGTGGGAAACATGACCTCAGTTCTCTGCTGTAATTGGCATGGTCACTATTTGCTAAGTTAGTTCACAATTTGGAAATTTTTTACTTCTTTGGTCTACAACTCCTGCAATGTTCTGACCAGTAAGGCTGTCAGATATGCTGGCTGAGGATCTATAGCATGCAGAAGTAACATTTGCAAGCTGTGAATTAGCCTATTTTAGAGGCAGGGAGCCTATGGCTTTCCTGTTTTTGATCCCTCATCATGAGCCAGGCTGGCTGTGACTGATGGAAACTGGAGTCCAGCACACCCCAACAAGCCATAGATTCCCAGCCCTGGTGCAGTTCATATTGCTTTCCTGAAGTGATTTTCTGCTACATGCTAATGATAGGTCTGTAAATAAAAAAGTTGCTGCTTGACTAGAGGATAAGGGACTTGGACATTTGAAAGGGAGGCAGCCCAAGATTCCTAACATTACAATGTGATGCATCCTGGCCATTGATTGGCCTCATTTCATTAATTCACATTTGCCCACCTCCTTCAGAAGGCTTTGGAAAGAAGCTTCCCTAGAAATCAAACACCATACTGGTTGGAACACTTTCATACAAAGCTGCCCAAGATGCTTGAAAAGAAATTGGCAAAGACCAGAATGGCCATGGCTTAGCAGTGCTGTTTTTCTTCCAATCTCTCTCGCTGGCCATTCTCCATGCCTTTTTGCTAGTTTCAATTCCTGCAATGGTTTTCCAAATCTACTACTATATCGCTCCTTGCAATGGATTTTCTGCACTTAACAATTTTCCATTGAGAGAACTGTAGATTGCATTTCTGCCAATTTATGTGTATCGTTTTGTCTTCATTGAGAGAGCTTATCCTTTGTAGAAATTGGAGCCATGCTGGCTGGAGGATTCTGGGAGATGTGGTCCAAAAGAAATTACTTTTTGAACTCAGGAAATACAATTAAGTGAGTCTCTCTGTGTGTATCTTTACTGAAGAATTGCAGATAGGCTGAAGTCCATCTCTCTGAATTACATTTTCTTTTTTCCCTTCCTGTAGGTGACATTGGAGAAGGTGTTGGGCATCACTGTCTCTGGAGGCAGAGGGTTAGCCTGTGACCCGAAGAGTGGTCTTGTTGCCTATCCAGCCGGGTGAGTCATTGGAGGTTGCTCTTAAATGACTGGAAGTTGCCAGCCTAAAGATATAGTATATGCCAGATTTGTGAGGGAAAGGACTGATGTGTTTTATAAGCTTCTTCTAAACTCGCTCCAATTATGGTGAACATCAGCAGTGATGGTTTAAATCATTGCTAGAAGGAATACACTTTACCTGTCACAGCTAATGAAATTATCTGTGGTTTCTCCTCTTGCTTTCAGCTGTATTTAATGATTGGATTCTTTAGGAGGTTGAACTTGAAGATAGCTTGGAAAAAATGCGATTGATTCTGGGCTCCTGGTGAAATAGGAGCAGGTCAAATAGTTTTATGATGTTAAAGTTCACAAACAGCGCTAGTCCCTCTTGAATGCAGATGCAGAGAGAACTATCTTTTTATCTCGCTATATTGTTTCTAAGACTTGTATTCTTTTCTGAAGGTTTATTCAATTGTTCTCAAATTGTTGCCTATTCATAAAATAGGAAGTGGCTTATCCCCAGTAGATATTAGAGGCAGTGGTCAATGTTTTGAATGATCAATGCACTGGTCTGCTTTGTTATCCTTTCCGAAAAATTCTTCTCTTTGGATTGACATCCTCTTCATTTCTGCCATTTCAGCAAAATCTGTAAATTCTCAACATTTTACTGTCCAGATGTTTTGGATCTTAACTCCCAGAAGCTCTAGCTAGCATGGCCAATAATCAGGGATCTTGGGAGTTGAAGTCAAAAACATCCAAAGGATAAATGATTGAGAACTAATGGCTTAGGTTAAAAGCAGCGACAAGCTCAGGTTTACCCACTGAGCCTCATTGCCAGGTTGTTCTTGCTACTTTAGGAGGAATTACGGTATACTTGAATCCCCTCGGCCTTCAATACAAAGACAAGAGGCCCTTCCCATTTGGTTTTCCACCCCAAGCTCCTGATGACTTGTGCCCTAAGAAATGACAGTGGAATTGAGTAATTATCCCCATTGCTCTTGAGCTTGATAATCTAAAGCCAAGATAGAGAATCTATGGCCTTCCAAATGGTTGCCAAATTCTGACTTCCATTAGTACCACCCTGCACATCCAGAGTTTAGGAATGATGGAAATTGAATTCCAGCCATAGTAGGCGGACACAGATTCACCAGCCCAGTGCAAGGCAGAGAAGAAGGGATGCCAGAGTGATGCCTTTCACAGTCAGGCAGGTTTTGGGACATATATATTGCCTCTTTCCCTGAGCCAGAGATCCCTTCTGCTAACTCACCTTCCATTGTCCTGATGCACTGTGTGCATATTAATAAGAGTAGAGAGAGTAAGAGCACTGAAAGACACAAATCCAAGTTGGAAACTGTAGGCAGACATCCAAGAAAAGCTGATGTTGGCCAGGTGTACCGGAAATTTCAAGGCAAATGGAATTCATATGTTTGTAAAGTGTGCTTTTAAGAAATGCAATCTCTGTTGACTGACTGGATGTGCAGGCTGGTACTCACCATGGTGTTGAGTGCCCAACTGTGATCTTGGTTTGTATTTAGCCAGTTTTAACATTTTATTTTACTGTTGTGGCTGGCTCGCTGGCCGTAATTAATTTGCTGTGGGAAGAAAAGAAATAAAGGGCAGCCTTAGAAAGCTACTGACTTGCCAACAATAGGCCTATAGCGGCAGCACGGCAGTCATTTTTGTCATCGCTAGCCTTGCCATGTGGTCATTTCTAAAGCTGACCCAACAAAGGTTTTTTGTCACTGTGTATGTGTTTTATAAGTATTTTCGGTACTTTGCATGGTGTTAATTTGCATGTATTTAAATTCGATCTTATGACCAAGCAGTCATAAGATCGAATCCACGCGACGGAGTGAGCTCCCGTCACTTGTCCCAGCTCCCGCCAACCTAGTGGTTCAAAAGCATGCAAATGCAAGTAGATAAATAGGGACCACCTCGGTGGGAAGGTAACAGCGTTCCGTGTCTAAGAAGCACTGGCTATGTGACCACGGAAGATTGTCTTCAGACAAAACGCTGGCTCTATGGCTTGGAAACGGGGATGAGCACCGCCCCCTAGAGTCGGACACGACTGGACAAAAATTGTCAAGGGGAAACTTTACCTAAATAGATTGCTATATAATTTATACAGTTTATAAAAGCCCAGCAAAAAAGGGCTTCATCCTGAGGAGAGTTTGTGGAAAGACAGATTTACAAAAAGGGCTTGACACCACTTGTGGCTACATCAGTTAGGCTTGCCTTGTGAAAATGGGCTGACCAAACCTTTGTTCTGAGTGTTTAAAAATAAACTTCAGCCCACGTCTCCTGGGCATGAGTCTAATGTTTTGTCCACAGCTTTACCACTTTTAAAAATTATCTGAACTTTATATTGGGTTTCTTGGTCTCAGGTTTTGGTCCTGAGGATCAACTTTGGGGCTTAATTTTTATCTGCATTTTAAAGTACTGAATAGATACAAATTTCTTTGGCTACCTTACTCAACAAACACATAAATGGAACCAAATTGCCTGATTTGAATAGGACTTAGATCCTTGGCCAAAGTTAGGGGCCTGTAACAGTAACAAAAGACAAAACAGGTAATCTGAGATTTGTAAGAGTTTAGCTTAGAGGACCCCTTCACAGATTGCTGCCTTGTTGTGGTGAAGAGGCTTGAGTAACTCAGAGAAGCTATGGGCTATGCCATGCAGGGACACCAAAGATGGACAGGTCACAGTGGAGAGTTCTGACTAAACGCGATCCACCTGGAGCAGGAACTGGCAATGGCACTCCAGTATTTTGGCCAAGAAAACTCTTTGGACAGAAAGAAAAGGCTAAAAGATATGACGCTGGAAGATGAGCCCCTCAGGCCGGAAGGCGTCCAACATGCTACTGAGGAAGAGCAGAGGACAAGTACAAGTAGCTCCAGAGCTAATGAAGTGGTTGGGCCAAAGCCGAAAGGACACTCAGCTGTGGACGTGCCTGGAAGTGAAAGGAAAGTCCGATGCTGCAAAGAAAAATACTGTATAGGAACCCGGAATGCTAGATCTACGAACCTTGGTAAGATGGATGTGGTCAAACAGGAGATGGTAAGAATAAACATTGACATCCTGGCCGTCAGTGAATTAAAATGGTCAGGAATGGGTGAATTCAATTCAGACGATTATTATAAGCGAAGAAGCTTATATCTACTATTGTGGACAAGAATCCCATAGAAGAAATGGAGTAGCCCTCAAAAAAAGAGTGGGAAAAGCTGTACTGGGATACAATCTCAAAAATGATAGAATGATATCAATACGAATCCAAGGCAGACCTTTCAACATCACAGTAATCCAAGTTTATGCACCAACCACCGATGCTGAAGAGGCTGAAATTGACCAATTCTATGAAGACTTACAACACCTAGAACTGATGGAAAGAAAATGCAAGGGAGATAGGGAAAGTTACAGAAAATTGAATGCAGACTTCCAAAAACTAGCAAGGAGAGACAAGAGGGCCTTCTTAAATGAACAGTGCAAAGAAATGGAGGAATATAATAGAAAGGGGAAAACTAGAGATCTGTTCAAGAAAATTGGAGATATTAAAGGAACATTTTGTCCAAAGAAGGACATGATAAAGGACAAAAATGGTAGGGACCTCACAGAAGCAGAAGACATCAAGAAGAGGTGGCAAGAATACACAGAGGAATTATACCAGAAAGATTTTGATATCCCAGGCAACCCAGATACTATGGTTGCTGACCTTGAGCCAGACATCTTGGAGAGTGAAGTCAAGTGGGCCTTAGAAAGCATGGCTAACAACAAGGCCAGTGGAAATGATGGCATTCCAGTTGAACTATTTAAAAT